GGAGGGGAAGGCCCTCAATGAGATGGACTGACTCAGTGATTGGGATAATGGAGGTTGGTGTGTTGGCTTAGGATAGAGCTGCTGTACATAGGGCCTCTATGAGTCACAGGTGACATAATGGGACATAACAACAACAATAAAAGTACTAACACTCTTGGTATTAATTGGTATTATTATTACACCGATTTTTACAGATGATGGAACTAGAGCACAGGAGTTAAATAGTGTGAACTTAAATGAAGCAAGAAAATGAAAATTAGTTATAGATAAAATCGTTATCAAATTCCAAAGTATCCCTCATACATGTCATCAACTTAGAACATTATGAAAATTATGAATACTTGGTCCAGGTCCTACTTGGTATAACACTAACTTCTATCACTGTATTTCAATATTCTAGACATAAAATGAGGATAAAGATATAACTGCTTACCCTTACAATTTTTTGCAATAATACCATTAACATTCAATGAAATTAAGAGAAAGATCTTTGTTAACTTGTCAAGTTCTGTAAAAATATTATATTAAAGTAAGAGGAAGCTGATGTAAGTTGTAAACAGAATTTAGCTAGTATCCTTCAGGAGAAAAAATATTACACCTTGGAGAAAATAAATTATTTCCTATTTTTCTGTTTGAAAAGTTACTAAGGAAACTAAACACATTACTCTAATTCCCTCCCTCCTCATTTTCCCCCACCCCATGGTACACTCATTCTTTGCCAAAATTTAGAAATATTCTTCAAAGTATTTAGAGGTGATAGTAAATGTTACTATAATTCTAGACCATTCATTTGAATACTGAGCTAATCACATTATGGTGACAGAAATGGGGGGAAAACAGATGACAGAAACGTGCTCCTCTGGGTTACAAAATCATTACTGAATAAATTATCCTTAAAAATTCTTGGATTTATTTTCTTCTCCATTTCATTCCTTATTTGTGTTTGTTTTCAATACCAAATCAGTCATCAAAATATCTCAAGAGAGTAAACAAAAATGAAAAGTGTTTTTTAAAATTATAAAACTTTTAAAATGGTTAGGTACAAGTCACATATTTTTCACAGTAAATTTATTTGCAACACCCCCATGATACATCTTCAAGGATATGAACATGTACGGCCAAGCACAATCAATAAGAGTGCATCTAAATTCCAAAATCAATCTCCATAATAGTCTATGTGTTTCCTACTGCCAAAGGGGCCCTTTAGAGTAGTGAGAGAAGATCTTCACCCTGAAACCCACAGCGTCCCTTTTCAGCAGGAAGTAGCTAAGAGAATACGCCATCCCCTTTTCCTTATGACTCAGGGTGAAGTCTCTCTCAGGGAGGAGTGATAGGGAATGGCAAAGGACACACTGACAAAGAAGATTAATCAGAACTGGCTTTGACAAGCACTGTGGCATTTGGACAAGAACAAACTGGGAGGAGGGTAGAGAGAATAGTGCAACAATGAATGAATGGAAACCCAAAATCTCTGTAAATGTTTATGAAAATTAATAAAATATAGAGAAAAAAAATGAATCATATGTATAGAACATCTAATATGTATAAAGCATAGTGACAGAAACAAAAAAATGGAAATAAGTTTTTAAAACTCATTGATGAAATCTTAAAGATACAAAGACATTATATAACATGGCTGATTAAGCGGAAATTTCCATTTATACTAAAAACAATGTATACGAATTTTGTACGTGTAAAATTTTGTACGTGTAAAATTTTTGTACAGTGTAAAATGTTTAAAAACTAAAAAGAAACCTAGTTATGTATTGGAAATTAGAAAGATCCACTGTGAAAAAAAAAAGAACAAAACACAATGTATACAAAGTTTGTAAGTAAACAAGTATAATATAAAAATTTTATTTAAAAAAACCACACATAAAATTTGGAATAAGAAACAGTAAAAATTAATTTTGAGAAATAAGTGTTCTCTATTTCTTTTTCAGTCTACTAGATCTACTTTCTACTTTCAACCTCCTAGACTCTTCCTAACCTATATGGAAAATATCAATATATTAATTTCCATGGCCTCTGGCTTCTAGTTGGGTCCAGTCAACGAAAAGCACTAGCAGGAGATGGAAGACAGGGAGAAAAATGAGATCAGAATATTTATTCCTGGTATGAAAACCTTTCCCTTCATGTGATCGGCTCAGTATGGTGTTTCTCTGCTAACTCAAAGGCTCTCTGGCAGTTCAAATCCACACGTGGCTGCTGAGAACAAAGACGGGTAATGTCCTCCCACATGATTTACAGCTTCTGAAACCTAATGGAGGATCAGCTATGAGTTGGTTCTGACTAACAGTGGTGAGTGAGTGAGGGAGGGAGGGAGGGAGGGAGGGAGGGAGTGAGTGAGTGAGTGAATTTAAACATATTGGTAGCAATGGCACACCAATGTTCCAGCCCAGGTTATTACACTTTTTCTTATAGTTTCACAGTCTAGTCCACATCTTTGTCCTAGTAAATACTCCCAGTGAGACAAAACAAAATGAATTTCAAATCACAAAACTAATTTCATATCACACACACACACGAAAAAAAAAAACAAACCAAACCAAAAACACACAACAACCCTGAGGGGCAGAATAGAACCTTCTCATTCTTTTCCCGAGGCTGTAAATTTTTACAGAAGATTTCTTCTATTTTTCTCTTGAAAAGCAGCTAGTGAGTTCAAACCATTGACCTCTTGGTTTGTAGTCCAAGGCCTTATAAACACTACCAGATCTCTTTCTCCTATTGAGAATGCCAACATTTTCCTGCCTGAACACTGACTACACAGTCACCAAATCTGGGGAAAAAGTCAATCTTCAGGTGTCAGAAACAGGAACCACTACGGCAGGATCAGCTCTCTGCTCATTGCCATGGAAATGGAACTGACTCAGAGCTGGTCAGTGCCAACGGCTTTCAGTGGCTTTAAATCACAAGGGAGGAGAGTACCCATTTTAAAAAATGTCAAAACCAGGTAAGTCATCAGATTAGTACTGATGTTTTAACATAATGCAGAGACAAAAGACATGGCCCAATGTCTAAACTGGGGAGCTCATGAATTTAGATCCATAAAGCTTAGAGTTTGGAGACACTAGACATTACACTTTACAAGGTTGGAAAAGTGTCATGATATTCCAAGATCCCAGGGCAATGAGAGGTAAGAGTAAGGTTCTAATAAAAGCATTCACAAAAACCCAAAACATTTTTTCTCATATTGGTTAGTGTAAAAGATATTTTCTATTTCATGTTTCTATTGGTTAGTGTTAAGACACTATTTTCTATGGTGAGCTGTACCATTGCAAATGCGTTGTTCTAGATTTCTTGAAAGTCCTCAGACTTTCACAAAAGCAAATATAAAACTGTTTCTTCTGAACAGTTACACAAGACAAGCATCAGAGAGTCTCACCAAAAAAGTTCACAAAAACAAACCAACAACAACAAAGTAACAAACCTCAAAAAATAATAAACCATGAACAGAAGGTGTCTTCAGATAGAACTGAAGAATCAGTATCAACAATTACAGGAATTTAAGAGAAAAATCTGAAAAACCTATAAAGCATATTGGACTGGTCTCAATGGCAAATGGAAGCCATGAACAGTCAATTTCCACTCCTGTGGACATCCCGTTATCCTGACATGACTGTTGACGTCTTTTCCCTCATTCAAAACACCTGGTACCTTTGTTACTAATTAGCAGACCAGACTTATGGTACATCCATTCAATAAAAGCAGCATTGTCATAAAAAAAAACTTTAAAAAAAACAGGCTTACTGTCCAATAGAACGGTGGAACCCTCAAGACTACGGCCTTTAGTTATCATTTGGACATAAGGAAAAACTCCCCCCTCATCCTACTATCAGCCAAACAATTCATAGGGTTTTTAGGTGAGTAATAAAGTTCAACTACCAGTAGGACAGTTCAGGGGTCTATAAGAGCAGGGAGCCATTCATTCCTTAGAATATCCTACTAGATAAGATCAAAATAGTAGAATATAAACAAGGATGAAACCCTGAAAACAAAGAGGTAGTAGAGCAGAAGGACTAATAGAATTACAGGAAAAGTGGGAAAGGGTGATTACATTGTGGGCACTGTATTTAATGTCATATAATAAAATATGTATGGATGATTAAGTGAAAATCAGTATATTTGTAAACTTTCACTCAAATCACAATTAAAAATAAAATAAAAGAGGTACTATCATTTCAGCTAAGGTTAGGGAACTGAGAATTGGTAGAGGAAGGTTTTTATGATGGGAGGATGGGATGAGGGCAGAGAGGGAACTGGTGGGACACTAATAACGCAGAGGATAGCAATAACATCCTGCTTCAACATAACCCAGGCAAGGAGGTCCAGGGAAAGGCTGTTTGCCCAATTACCTTCTATGCTGCCATGCTTTGAGGAAACATACCCTTACTATGTCAGTTTTTGCCCATTTCATAGTTTCCACTATCATAACCATTAAACAAAAACCTTCTAACTGCTATTAATTCTGGCTCATAATAATCCTACAGGACACAGCAGAACTGCTGTTATAGGGCTGCTAAAGTTAGGAATTGCACTGACAACCCAAAAGCATGTGGTGCAAATCTATCAGCTGCTCCGTCAAAAAAAAGATGGACAATCTCCTCTCAAGGCAATTTATAGCCTCAGCAAACCCACTGGAGGGTCAGCACTGAGTCACCTCTGACTTGATAGTACACAACTGCATCATCTTTCTCCTGAGGAGCAGTTGGTTGGTTTTAGACCACTGACCTTTTGGTTAGCAGCCCAGTGCCTATCTGACTGTATCACCAGGACTCCCTCTCCACCCTATTACAAACTAAAGATGATAAAATGCTTGGACTTAAAAAGGATAACAATATGCAGCCACTGCTACCACAGCTCCTCAAAAGCCTTCTGAATCTATACATTTCCATTTCCACAGAGGTGAGGTCATCTTCCTTCTCAGCCATGAAATGGAACTCTCTGTATTTCAAATCACCCTCCATTTGGTAAGAGAATTTTTCAGGAACACTTACCTCAGTAGTAGTTCCAACATCAGCAGATGGGCTGCATGTGCTAGTGTCAGGAGGCACGGTGCCTACACTGCTTCTCACTGGAGAGCTTGGGACAGCCCCTACGACCGTCTCTGGACAGACTGAGGACAAACTCAGATTGCCTCTCTTCTGAATCTTACTCCAGACCTTATTCATGGTATCAGTTAACTCATACAAAAGCTGGACCTGAACAGAGAGAAACAAAGAGGGAAACAAATCTTTCATCTATTATTTGATACTAAATATCAGAAAATTAAAACAAGTCCAGAGAAACAAATAAGAATATTATATGGACAAAAATTATTCTGAGAAATACAGAGGGGAAATAAGAAGCACATTCAAAATTTTAAGTATTTTATCAAAATTCAAGTTTGAAATATATAGTAATTTATTCACATTTCAAATCTGCTCCATATTTTCCATTATATTTTATGAGCAATCTGGTATTTCTGTGAATTATGCGAATACCAACACAACTTATTATGGGTCAGAGATACCTTAAATATGAGTAACAGAATACCAAAAAGCATCTTTTAAATACAGGATAGGATCAAAAGTAGAATTCAATTATATAGGTAAATACAATTGGTTATATAGGAAATCACTATTCTTATTTATCTTTTTTTAAACACTGGAAGCATTCCTACTCTTCTGACGAATAAATCTGAGACTCCATTTATTCTAGCACAACAAAGAAAACTAAGAAAGGCAAACAATACAGAATAGAACAGGGAAATGGTGCTTAGGAGGCTTTTCTATAGATAAAGAACATAAACTATCTAACCTACTATTCCTCTGGGACATGTCACTCTAGTATTTGGGGTTAGGTGGTGGGAGGAGGAGGCTGTTTAACTTGCAGACTGTTTGACGAAGTTCTAAGATATTTATATAAGATTTCATAAATAAGCATTAATCATGGAATTTGTATGACAACATATTGCCATATACTGTGTAAAGCAAGCCCAGAGGAAAAAAAATGCAAACACAATTTATAAGCAAATCCACAGCTGGACACCATATTCTACTTGCCATTAAAAAAAAAAGAAAGAAATTCTCATATTTATAAGATGTTTCAGCCCCAGGATACATCCAGATGATGAAACTGGCTTCTTATGTGGGCAGAACAGATGCAAAAAACCCCACTGTTGTCAATCCTTATTTGATATAAAACAGTACTTGTATGTACAGTTTTCCCCCTGCTTTTTGTGTGAAGTCTCAATCTTAGGTTATAGCTCTTTTTGTTAAAGAATAATATTCAGAAGTTTTATGAAAAGTTTCTTAGAAATAAACTTGTTCAAATCCTCTACTGTTCTTAATTAGAAGTTCCTCCCTAAAAAGAAACAACTTTGTTTCCTGAAAACTAAATTTTAAAAAACAAATTTGCAGTTTTTTCATTAGATAACATGTAAAAAAGTATAAACCAAGACAATCAGCTCAAACCAAACGTTCTATCATCAGATTTCTAAGGCTGCAAATCTTAAGAGGAGAAGACTGCCTCACTTTCCTCTTAAAGAGTGGCTAGTGGGTTAAAATAAGCCATTACACTAATAAAAACTAGTGCAGGCTTATAATGGGTCCTGCATCAGATTTCCAAGGCAGTAGATCAAAACAGGAGGAGACTGCCCATACTTCTTCTGCAGAGCCTCTGGTGGGTTCAATCCACCAGGAAAGAAAGCTTTTGGATTAACAGTGATGCTCACTATGGCTATACCATGTGAGCTCCTACTCAACACACATTTCTTTCTTTCTTCCTGTCATCAAGTCCAAACTAATTTCTGAGGCTGTAAATCCCATGGGAGGAGACTACCCATCTTCTCTCCTTGGAGTCGCTGGTGGATCTGAATTGTCAGGCACGTATGGCTGTGGGGTTAGCAGCACAACTCACGAGAGGTTATGACACCAAAGCTCACTAGTCATTACATTAGCAGATTCCTAGCACAGCTAAAAACATAGTTTGTTTACTTTAGAGAAGTTATTCTATTTCTAAATTTCTTTCACTTTCACTATTTAATAGTTATTTTTACTTCAGTAAGTACATCATACATTTAATGGACCAAGCAAAATAAGGCCAGGAACTTTAAACATATTTTTATTTTTAAATAGCAAACCACCAAAACTACAGCCAGCCAGAAAAGATATTTACCTGGATTAAAGAGACTGAGGAAGTTTCAAGGCATTATATGCTAAAACACAAAAAGGATTTGGTTAGGGGACATCATGCTTGAAAAGATGGAGGGTCAGCGATAAAGATGAAGATGCCCAACAAGATGGACGGACATAGGGACTGCAACAATGGGCCAGGTTCATCAGAATCCATGAGGATGGCACAGAATAGGACAGGATTCAGATCTGTTGTTCACTATGAGTCTTACCTGATGGCACCTAACAATAACAACAAAGGCACAAGAATAACTAGAGAGCAGTAAGTACAAAAGATGATTAAGAAATGATCAAAAGAGCTAAATACCCTCTTTTTGTCCCATCTCTAGACATAATTTCTCCAACAAAGAGGGAATCTGCTAGATGCTGAACCGGAAAAGGAGGGGCAGTCTTCTCTAGTTAAGAATTACAGCTTTGGAAACTCGGATGGGAGGGCAGTATGACTTGAGATTGCCGGGAAGACAATGCTCCTGAGGGGTTGGGGGGGGGGGTCTCTGCTTTTTAATACACTTCCTAAGGAGTACTGGCAGGACATATGCTAACAGTCTGGCTGCTAACTGAAAAAGTGATGCTTCAGCTAAAGAACTGGGGATCTGCTCTTGTAAACATTCTACCTTGAGAAACCCAAGGGAGCAAACTCTAGCCTGCAGTTAATGGAGTTGAAATAGAACCAACTGTACACAACAATGACTCAGTTAAAGAGGAAGTACTCAATTTATAGCTTTCAGGAGCTTGACTTGGTGAAAGAGTAATTGTCAAGGCAAAAAGGAAGATAAAGCATAAATAGCCAATGTGAGTGGAAATAAAGGAGAAATGAGATTTCACCAATGAAACTCAATGGTCAGTGGTAAATAGAAAATACAGAGTAAAAAAGGCTCTTTTACTTCACACGAAGTTGTTACTAATCATTAAATTCCATTTCAAAGGTGTCATTTGTCCCTTCCCTAAAATTATCATTCAAAGCATTACACTTTCCCAGCCTATTTTTGTATTAAGGAGTAAAATCAAAATGGCTCAGTTTTTAAAAGTACTTACCACATTCCAGGTACTGTATCAGATACTTTCTACGTATATATCCTTTAAACTTCACAACTGATTTGTATGAACTAATCTTTAACTAGTAAAAAAGGCTAAGCACTAAGCTGGTAATTGAAAGGCTAGTGGCTTATGTCCACCTAGAGGTGGACTCTAAGAAAAGCATAGAGACATACATCTTAAAAATTCTGGAAACTCTGTTCTGACTCAAAAAGGGTTTCCATAAATTGGAGCCAAGTCAATTATAACAAGTTTAGATGTGCTGTGTTTTTTGTTATTGGTATTTTTTGGTTGCGGTGTTTGGGTTTTTTTATTCTTTAAGACATGCAATCTCTCTTAGTTTAACAGATGAGGAAACAGAAGCTTAGAGAAATAAAAAATTATACAAATCACTATTGCCTAAATGAAAAACAGGTTCATATATAGTCAGGACAAATCTTGTTATTTAGGGGAAAAATTGAATTTAGAACAAAAAAAAAAATCATGAATAACTGGGTCAGAGCATTGAACCTATGCTGTCTTTTGCTCTTAACCATACACTTAAATCAAAGAATCTAAAGATAGCTTTATGTTACTGTCTATAGAATACACTTTTTTTTAATGTAAGGGAAAACTCTGGTGTTATATTAAAAATAAAAAAATAAACCCTCAGGAAGCTTATTTAATTTTGAGATGAACATAAAATTTAGTGTCTGAAAAATGAGGATCTTGAAGCCATGAGAGAGAAGTGAGGAAATTTCATAAAAAGAAGGAAGGGTTAATAGAAATCACTCAAAGAAAACAAAGTTTTTGAATTCTCAATGAGGTTAAAGACAGAATTTGACATCTGTGAATGGCAGGGGCTTCTCAGGATGAAGGGTGGATAAGCTAAGTAAGGAAGACTGTCAGCAGGGTGGACTGACACAGTGCTAGAGCAACGGGCTCGAGTCTATCAGGGACGGTGAGGATGGCGCAGGGCAGGACCTTTGGATTGCCGTCCATAGTGTTGCTCTGAGTCCTGGTCAACTTGATGGCATCTAACAACAACAATAGAGCTGACAAAATCCTGGTAGCTTAGTGGGTAGGACACTGCACTGCCAACTCGAAGGGGAATGGCTGGAATTCCCCAGCTGCTCTGCAGGAGAATGACAGGTAGTCTCCTACCATGTAATTTACAGCTTCTGAAAACCTGCTAGAGGATCAGCTGTTGAGTTTGTTCCAACGCAAGATACGAGTGAGTGAGTGACAGAACTGAATGGCAAACAAGCATTTTAGACACGACCATAAACTGGCTTTGGGTGCACACATACCTAAGGGCTACTCGACATGTTAAGGAATATACACTACTTGAAAGCTTTCTATCTGATCAAAAAGGAACCAAATTCGGTAGAGTTATATAAAGATTGGCAATTTTTTTATTCTGATCTAATGGATAAACAGAAAAACTTACTTAAGCAGGAATTATTTCCACAAAACATAGTAAGAAAATTACACACTGGTTTCTTTCAGAAATCAATAAATTTTCTGACAGTAGATGGAAAATATAATGCATATCTGAATTTTTTCTAGGAAAAGGGCTTAGAGATTTTATCAGATTCTCAAAAGCAAATTTATGGCACAAAAAATAAAGGGGCAAGAACTACTAAACTATATGCCTTTTCTCTTATGACATATAACTTAGATTAATGGATTAAAAGGGAAAAAAAATGAAGAATCTGAGTGCTGGCGGCCTAAAATGTTATATATTGGACTGCTAACCAAAAGATCTGTGGTTCAGGTCCACTAGCTGCTCCTGAGAGATATTCAGTTTATCTTGTAAAGATTGACAACCTCAGAAACCCATCGAATATTCATCATGAGTCAGAACAGACTCTTTGGAATTTGGTTTTTATATAGTGCAAGCCAAACAACAAATAGGGACAAATACTTTTGTTGTTGTTGCTATGTGCCATCAAGTGATCTGAAACCAGTTTCATTCTGTGTCATCTGCACAATCTCTGACATTCTTAAAACCGTCTTGTTGAGGGTCTTCCTCTCTCTGACCTTCCATCTTTCCAAGCATGATGTCTCTCCAAAAGGAATAGCCTTTCCTAGCAACATGCCCAAAGTATGCGAGACAAAGCTGCACCAATACTGCACCACATCCAAGAGACTTATTCTATTGGCAGTTCCTGGATTAATCAGTACCCTTTTCCAACACTACAGGTCGAAGGCACCAATTCTTCTGTCCGTACTTACTCACTATACAACTGTCAGTTTCATAGCAAGTGACTGATTGAAAAGATGATGGCCTGAATCAGGCACACTTTCATCCTCAAACTAATATCATTGCTCCTCAACAATTTGGAGAGATCCTTAACTACAGACTTCCCAGTGCAATACATCTCCTGATCTCCTGATTGCTGATACAAAGAGTGGTAACTTTAGATTCAAATAAGATAAAGTCATTTTCCGTTTCAGTCTTTTTGTCCATCTATCATAATGTTGCCTATTGGCTCAGTGGTTAGAATGTTTGTTTCCTTGATGTTGATATATAATCCAAATTGAAGGCTGGTATTCTCTGGTTTCATCCAAGATCCATTTGAGATCAGTAATGATATCCTTGGTGCCATAGCCTCTTCTAAATCCAGCTTGAATTTTGGCAATTCTTTCGAAGATTTGGCTAGGTTAGAATATGCAAGTCAGTCAGTGACTCATGACATGATTGGTTTTCCCCAAAGCCACTGGGTTTATATTGAGCAGGTTTGAAAGAAAAGATGAGAATTGCAGTACCAGCAAGGAAGGAGATGTAGAGAATACAGAGTGCATCGTTCAAGCCAGAGATTCCTGTGCAAGTCAGCCCTGGACAAACAGCCACAGTGAACAGAAAACACAGTTGACTTGAAACTGTGGACTCAAGAAGCCAGAATAGGGGTCTTTACTCAAACTTGCTGGAGGACTTGGGGAAGATGTTATCATTGGCAGGACTAAAAGAGCTCAGTTATATTGGCATAAAGCCATGAAGCTAAGATCAGAGGAAGTTTGAACATGCTTAAAAGCTGTCCTGACTGAGGAATTTTGCCCTTCTACCATCTTGAATTGAAATCTGTTATCTTCCCCAATAAATCTCAGAACTTTAAGTAGAGTTCTCTGAAGTCTGCGTAGTTCTTGCAATGAATTTCACACCCTGCAGTAGTGCAGTATGATGGTATTGGAATTAGGAGAGGAAGGATGGAGTGTGGCAATCATGTCTGACTCTACTGAAACTGGTGTTTGAATGTGGATGTTGTTGATGGGACAGTTTCTCTTTGTGGAGATAACAGAGGTTACTCTTAGTCATTCCCATGCCACCTACATTCTTTTAATATATCATCTCACACAACATGAAGTAATATTTTAGAATTTACTATAGTTCAATTCTACTGGTAATGAGCGTTCTTGTCAATTTTTTTAACAAATATCTTTATTGAGTCCTTACTCTTCAAAATTATTTTTGCTTGACACAGAATGTGGGATTGTAAAGTCGTTCGGATTTGGTTCTTTTGTTTTCCTTCTTTTTAAAATTTTATTTTATTAATTTTAATGAGAATTTACAGTGATTTTGGATTTCCATCCATTCATTGTTGCACTTTACTCCCTGCCCACCCCTCCGCCCCCCAAGTTCACTCCTTGCTTTGAAAAGTAAAAGAAAATTTAAAAAAAAAAATTCTGCAATTAAAAGATGTTGCTCTTTTGGCCTACATAGTGTCTTATGAGAAGTAAACCACCAGTCAAATCTTTGTTCCTCTGTTTGAAATTGTCCTTTGTCCTTCCCCACCCCTCCAGACCCTGCTTGCTGCTTTAAAGATTTTTCTCTTTAATCTATAGCCCTTAACAGTTGAACTATGATTAGTACACACATTTATGTGTTTGTGTTTGTCTTATTATCTTTTCCTCTTGGCATCTAATTTGAGTTCAGAACTCAGTGTTTGTTAGATTCACGTGGAACACTTTTAGGGTTTTGATAGAACCAAAGGGGCCTCAAAATACAAGCGAAAGCAACCACATTCAAGAAAGGGGTTTATTTGGAGTCTCATACTTCATCACTGAAATATGGGTTAATCTGGTACACAGGATTACTAAGAACAATGAACTTCACAACAAATTTTTGGTAAACATGGATTCACTGAAGTGTTATATTTATTCTATGGCTTAATATCCCTTCAGGAATTCTGGTAACATTCAACAAATTTTTATAAAGGAGCTAACAGTTTATATATAATATCATCACCTAAAACAACCAAATTATATTCATAAAATATTTTAGCATTTATAAAGTATTTTCACAAATACTTCAAATTTCCTTCAACCTTGCAATCAACTTTAATTAAAATTCAACCCAATATTATTTACTACTAGAGTTCATTAAGTCCTAATGAAATTTTGTACTCCAGTCACACTAAAGGGGGTAAAAAAAAATCCTTACTTTCTGGGAAGCCAGGTAATAAAACAAAGTACAACAGGGAAAAACAGACTAGTAGACACAAAAAAGAAGTATCAGTTCAAACACAGGCCCTCCCTACTCCATGTCATTGCTGAGAACTGGTTTACACTTAACATCAGCTGTGACATTTGTTTCCAAACAAAATGGGTATCTAGTGAGGAGGCAGCAGTACTCTAGTTTTGAGCCACAATATTACATTTAATTAGATATTACCCAAATTAAAGACTACAGAGTATTTTCAAAGTGAAAGAAAAGAATTTAAATTTCAAAGCAAAATCATAAAGGTATCAATTTATTGAAAGTAGAAGTATCTATAAATAAATATCTATGAAATGTGTAAGTAGAACTACCCATACCATGTGGACTCTGGTAGAAAGCGTCATTTACGAGGGGGCCTGTCCATCACACAAGCCTTTATATAGAACTACTACTAAATATAACCAATAAAATGAACATTTCTATCATCCTCTAACATTTCCTCATATTCTTTTGTAACATGTCCCTCTTACTCCAATATTTTCATATCTTATTCCTACCTGGCTCTCCATAACAACTGCTTCGTTTTTCTATCACGTTATTAGCAGCTTTCCTGTTCTAAACCCACATAACAGGACTTTTTCACCTCATATATTTCACTACTTGTAACAATTATGATATTTATCTATGATGCTGAATTTATCCATATCTTTCTTTCATTGTTGTCCAATCTGAACCAACTCATGGCTGTCTGTCCAGTAGATGTCTAAAGCTATAAGTCACACTGAAGGAGAATGCCTATCTTTCTCCTTTGGAGTGGCTGGATTCAAACCATCAGCGAAGCACAGAACTCTGGGTTAGCAGCACAACTCTATGGACTACATCAACAGGGCTCCCTGCATTTATCCAGTTTAGACCTTTTTATGGTTAAACAGTATTTATTAGTAGTATTAATACTATTAGGATTGACAGCAGCTATGTATGGATATGCCATAATCTTCTGACCATTAACAGTAAAGTGAACACAGCTCTATCAATGTTGATCCATGTGATCAAACACTATTCCAAAAAGGATCTTTTAAAAAATAGTATCTTAAGAAACATGTAACTTTGTTAATGAAGAACATATAGTAAACTTTACCTCCTGTTGTTGTTGTTGCTGTTATGTGCCACTGAGTCGCCTGCAACTCATATTGACACTATGTGTACAACAGATCTGAAGCTGACCCTATCCTGAGCCAGTCAAGCAAATATTAAATTAAAAGGAATTAACAGTGTGTGCAAACAGAGGCAATCTGAATTGATATTAAAGTGAGACTGTAGAATATAACAAGTTTGAACCTATACCCTGATGACTTTTTATTTAAAAATTGTGTATTTTTAATAGCAATAAACTGCATCATTCTTTTATTTTTCGGTTTCATATTTCACACATATTGTATTAAAAAGGTTCTGAGTAATAATTTGACTCAAAATTCAATTTAACTGTTTAAAAAGACTTTTCTAGCCTGGCAATAAAGTGGTTCTTCAATGTTTAAAAACTACATGTATACTTGATTTCATTCCTTCAGCCAAAAGATGTTTTTATTCTGCCACTATAATATTTTGAGACGAGTTTTAAGTTCTAAAACCTGAGATAGCTTCATAGAAATCCTTAATTCCATTCCACCCTGATCTAGATGACCAGTCTAAAAACTCAGGACAATTCATAGAATAGGAAACATTAAACAAATGGAAAACAACTATTCTTTAATTGTACTATTTTAAGTTTACTTTTATAAATCATATATACCAACCTGAGGGTTTGAACACTTTATCTCCAGTGACTCTAGGTCAACATGCAGACAAACGACGAATGAATGTCTCATGTCAGGTCCTGTAGCAAGCAGTTTCTGAGATGTTACAGCTAGAGTAGAGGTACAACCCATAGGTTCCACTAGGCAGAGGGTTACTTGTTTTCCAAGAAGGGTATAAATGCTGAAATGATGCAAGTTTATGGTCCAAGGAAAAGAATCACCTGATGATTGAGTGGAAGGGATTTGGAAAGGACACACACACAAAAAAATAGTTAATTGTTACCTGAGAGTAAGTTGTCCATTGTCTAATATTTAATACTGTATTATAAAAAGCAAGAAACTGACACTTGAGTAAGAGAATCAGTCTAGTGGCTTGACTGGAAACAATGTAAGTGCATAATAATATGTGGTCAGCACTGTGGTACATTGCCTGTTTTGAAACTGAAAATATTTTACCCTCAAGAAAGAATGAAAAATTTGAAATCATCTGTAACTAATTCTAAAATTATTTTAAAACCTACACAAAGTTTCACGCTATTTACAAATAAAAGGATCTGCCAAATTCATCTTAAAATACACTGGAAGTATTTTAGGTTGCATGTATGGAAAATGTAACCACCTACTACACATACACACTGAAACATTACTGAATCCAAAAGTGGTAACTGGTGGTCATATCAGAGGAAAATTTTGCATTTAAATTTGCAACAGACTTTACTACTTTACTACTATTTTAGATTTGTATGATCCAGCTTGTTCTCTGGCAACAGACCAATGACCTGAAATTGGATATACCATACTCTAAGTCTTAAACTCCCAGAGTTACCTAGTGTTGTTGTGAGCTTTCTAGTCAAAATCAGCCCACAGCCGACCCTCCACTGGATATTCAGAGACAGTAAATTACACAAGAGTGGACTGAAAATTAATGAGGAATTTTCCAAATACCCATTAGGAAAAGAAAAATACAATTAATCATTAACTTCCCAAGAATAATTAACGACATACAAATACACACAAAGAAGTTTTTTAAAAAATCCATTTGTATAGCCTTGGCAAAATAATTGTCAGTATTCTTTAAAGTGATAGTCTCAATAAAATAGTATAAGAACAAAGATAGCTGATATGGAGAGCTGACCTATGATTCAGGCAGACATTTACATTAAATAGAAATTATTGCAGCAAATAGAATTTTGTTACTTAATATGAGAGTAATGCTTTACAGAAAAAAATATATGGAATTGTACAAATAAGAATGAACTAAAATTACTGATACTGTTTCTTTCAACCATTTAGCACTTAAATGGATTTAAAGACAATTAAGATAAAGAGTTCATTCATTCTAAGTGCTATTAATTTAAGTAATGGGTGTTTTCAAGATACTAAGGAACCAAAAAGAAGATAAAGCTTAAACAAATTTTCCTGACAGAGGGGAATAGCTGAAAAGGCAAGAAGAAATCAAAATAAAGATGATGCACTGATAATTTTATCTGCTTTGAAACCAAAATTCTGTATTTGGAACAAAGGACTATTTTGTACTAGGAAAAGTGGAATGAACTGCATGTATAAAGTAATCATAATAATTAAAGCAAAAGATCAGTAACTGCAAGTTTGCAAAAGATATTTTTTAAATATAGAAACAAAAATATTCACTGCTGAAATAACTAGTACAAGAAACGGACCCAAGTTTTAACTGAAGGAGTTTTAAGTAATAAGTTCTATTCGGGGGAAAGTTCTTAGAAGAAAAGGTCAGGGTGAAGGAAAATCCGAGTTCTGATCATCATGATTTTCTACAACATAGGGCCTCAAAAGACGGTTTTTCAGTAATATCAGTACCATAAAGTTATAGTCTAGGCGAAAGAGTGAGTCGGATATGTAAGGAACAAAGATACCTGATATGGATAGCTGACCTTTGACAAAAAGATGAAATGTTTTAAATGGTGGAAAAGACCACCTCTTTAACAAACTGTTGTTGTTGTTTCTTATGTGCCATTGCGTTGCCTGCGACTCACAGTGACCCTACGTAAAATAGCCCTAAACCCTGCTCTATCCTGTGCCAACCTGTCTCAGACACACCCACCCCAATTACCCCAGTTACTGAATCAATTCACCTAATAGAGGGTACTTCCTCTCCTGCACTGTCCCTTCACCCTGCCATGAAGGATGTCTTTCTCCAAGGACTGGTCTCTCCTTGCAACATATCCAAAGTATGTCATACGAACCTTCAGAATGCTTGCCTCCAAAGAGCAGTGTGGTTTAACCTTCTCTAGGTTGAACCTGTTAGTTTTCTTGTTGTTGTTGTTATGTGCCATCGAGTCACTTGCAACTCATAGCGACCCTATGTACAAGAGCTCTAAATGCTGTTCTATCCTGTGCCAACCTAGCCATCTCAAATGCACTTATTCCCACCGCTCCAGTCACAGAATCGATCCATCTCACCAAAGGTCTTCCTCTCCTTCGCTTCTCCTCCACTCTGCCAAACATGATGTCCCTTTCCAAGGAACAGTCCCTCCTTACAACATGCCCAAAATATGTCAGACGAAGCTTCAGAATCCTTGACTCCAGGGAACACTCTGGCTTCACCCTCTCCAGGACAAACCTGTTTGTTCTCCTAGCAGTCCATGGTATATTCAACACTCTTTTCCAGCACCACAGCTCAAAGGCACCAATCCTCTTTTTATCAGCCCTATTCACTGTCCAACTCTCTGATGCATAGCACATAATTGCAAAGACTATAGCCTGGATCAGGCGCACCTTAGTCTCCAGCCTGACATCGTTACTCTTCAGTACTCTTGAGAGTTCCCTCACAGCCGACATTCCCAATGCAATTTGTCTCTGGATTTCCTGGCTGCTGTTACCAAGAGTGTTGATTGTGGAGCCAAGTAAATTAAAACTGTTAACTATCTCAATCTCCTCACCATCCATGCTGATGCTGCCAATTGGCCCAGTGGTTAGTTTTCTTAGCAGTTCATAATATATTCAATACTCTTCTACAACACCACAGCTTAAAGGCATCAATTCTCTTCTATCTTCCCTAGTCTGTCGAGCTCTCTGAAACATTGCAAATGATTGCAAAGACCATGGCCTATATCATGTGCACCTTAGTCTCTAGAATGACACAACTGCTCTTCAGTACTTTGGTGAGATCCCTAACAACAGACCTTCCCATTGCAAAGTGTTTCTTAATTTCCTGGCTGCTGGTGCCAAGAGTGTTGACTGTGGAGCCAAGCAAACTAAAGCTATTAACACACTGTCGCAAATGACAGCAATACATTAAAAAAAAGTTTCTAAGCACGGTCATCAATTTAAAAGTGTGCAGCAACATGTTAACAATCTCAATCTCTTTACCATCCATCCTGATGTTGCCAATTGGCCCAGTGGTGAGAATCTCTGTCTTCTTAATACTGAGCCTCAATCCATACTGAAGCTGCAGTCCTTGCCCTTCTGCAGCAAGTGCTTCAGGTCCTCTACAGTTTCAGCACGTAGGGTTGTGTCATCTGCATAACACAGATTGTTGATGGATCTTCCACCAATCCTGACACCACACTTCTCCTCAAACAGCCCAGTTTCCTGGATAATCTGTTCTGCATATAGGTTGAAAAGGTATGGAGATAGGACACATCCCTGGCGTACACCCTTCTCAATTCTGAACCATGAGTGTTTCCTTGCATTGTTCTGATGACTGTCTCCTGGTCCAAGTATAAGTTTCACATCAGCACATCAAGCGTTCTGGGATTCCCATTCTTCTCAGAGTCAGCCACAGTTTGTCATGATCCACACAGTCAAACGCCTTTGCATAATCAATAAAACACAGATAATAGACATTCCTCTGGTACTCCTTGTTTTCATCCAATATCCATCTAACATTAGCTACAATATCCCTAGTATCAAGACCCCTAATAAACCCAGCCTGCACTTCTGGCAGTTCTCTCTTGATGTGCTGTTCTAGTCATTTTTGGATAATCTTCAGTAGAATCTTGTTTGCATACGGTATCAATGATATTGTTTGGTAATGTCCACACTGTTAGATCTCCTTACTTTAGAATGAGAACAAATAGAGATTTCTTCCAGTCAGTTAGCCAAGTGGTTGTCCTCCAGATTTCTCGACATAACTTGGTGAACACACCTAGGGCAGCATCTGTTAGCGGAAATATATCAACTGGTATACCATCTATTCCTGGGCCCTTATGGCAAAACTGTGCATGTATTTGCAGAAAACAGAAACAAGACCTACAATTCCCATTAAATACAAAGAGACTGAGGACCATTTTTATGGATCAAACTGGATCGGGGATCTAGGCATAAAACCTACAACTATAAAACAAAATCAGTGCAAACTAAGGCAATCTATTGCATAAAGACTATAAAATATATCCAAAAAATTTACATTCAACAGAGAATGATGCAGAAAATTGAAATATTCTAAAAATTACATTGCTACATGTATCAAAAGACTTCTCCAAGAATGAAACAGAATCTTTCACAATTTATGAAGTAAAATCGATTATGAATCATTGAATAAAATACCAATATGCTTTGTAAACTTCCATTCAAACTGCACCATAAAAAAAGGTACATTTTCAAGGATTTCAGGCAATGTGTAGGAGTCCTATTGGCACAATAATTAAGTGCTTGATTGCTCTTTGAAAGGTCATAGTTCATAATGACTAGCCACTCTGCAAGCAAAGATGTGGCAGTATGTTACCATAAAGTTTTAGTTATGGAAATCTTTGAGGCAATTCTACTCAGTCCTTTGTGAAGCAATTCAATGTCAATGGTTAGTCAAACAATGGAATAGACTGGATGCAAGCTGATGAGTACACAGTAATAACTAAAGCAATTATAAAAACTACCATTAGAGAACTTAACAGCTTGACTTTATTTGCAAAAAATATAGGATAGTTTTTAAAAACAGTATCGAATTGGCATTCTTTTCTGAGTTTCCTTCTCTCTTAGGTTAACACACCTGGATTAGTGTCAGACTCAGCTAAAGTGGAAACAAAATAACTTCAACAGAATTTCACTATTTTTCTAGCTATACTGTGGTCATCAAACTATGATAAACAATAATCTAAAGCGGAACAATACATAAGAATAAGAGTAAAAGGAAAAATAAATAGCTCTCATATTTTTTCATCGATGAACTATTTTTAATATCAGTTTCTATTTAAACACCCCAAATCCAACAACAGCAGTTTTAATTTATAAATGTTCTCAATATTCC